ACCAAACTATTGAACAACTTGGAAAAGTGAAAAAATACTTCTTATCACCAGCATAAATGCGTAATTATTTTTTTACAGAAAAAGTAATTTTTCACCTTTGATTGAGTAACGCGTCATAGAATGCAGATACGGGCATGACAAACACATCTTTGAAAAGCTTGAAGTCTGGCGATTCTAAAAATATATACTTTCCTGGGTCTATGTGTAGTCATTTAGTCACAATTAGAAGATGAAAACAAGTATGCAAATAATAGTCCCGCTATCTTAAACTGTAATTATACATTTCTTAGATACGATGTTATATCATTACAACTTAGAATGCGGAAGACAACAAACCTTTGCCAAGTGTTGTATATCCAAACTCAGTTGTGGGTTCTGGGATTTCTGCAAAAGACGATGTTGTTGAGAGTTACAATAAAAACGCGTACTACGTGGATGATAAACGTTATCATGTGATCGATTGCTAAATATTCACTTCCAAAAAACCAAGTGCTCTATATACACTTCAACTAAATTCTCACTGTAATTTTAGCTCTACCACATATTCAAAGAACGATTTAAGTTGTAATTTCTGTCTTAGGAAACGAAGTATATTTTTTATTACTTATTTTTTATCTGTCTGTCATCAAGATCAACAAATGATCATGAAATTGTCAGTAAGGGTTGTCCTTGCGTAGAAAACAAATTAGAATTTTCTAGCGATGTTGTCCGGTTGAAATAAAAACAATAATTTCATGAATGATTGTTTATTTAAACTTTTTGAGTTAAAGATAGATTCTCATAAAAGTTTCAAAAAGTTCCTTCCTAAGGGAAGGGTTTACGTTCAGTACAAATACTAACTATTTCGATTATGGTAGTGATGAGCATCCGGTCATCATTGATAAATTAAAATAACGAAATTTTATGCATTTTTTGCAAGGAATGATCATTTACATATATACAAATCTAATTGATGCTTGACAAAATCTGAAATTTGTAACCAAGGAAACATATATTTTGGGAATAGTTCTGTATTGATAACGAATTGTTTAGTTACCCCTAAAACTATGGAAAATTGTGAAATCACAGTAAAACGACGAGGTTTTCAATGAATATTCATTGCCTGGCAAAAATGTAAGGCAAACGAAGAAAAGTAAGAATAACGAGTATAAAACAAATGGTACGTAGACAAATATATAAAACGAATGGTACGTATAAATGTATGCTAAGGCGGTTGCTTTGAAAGCTCGGGATGTGATTTTATAATTATATTGAAATTCGGCATGCCGTGCTGTGGGGCGGCACACTGTGATGCAATAATGTGGTGCAATAATTTACTTAAATTCTATATTCAGGTTGTTTAAGACGTGAAAACATTGCTTACGTGCTGTTAGGCAAAAGATGACAGAATTTGTACATACGAAAAAAGGTGGCATGCATATGTAAATATATATACCATTCCAATAAATCATACTTTAGGCATTTGTTTACAAATGTGGTCGCCATTCTAGTATAGTTTACGTTATCCGTAATTACAAAACTGCAACAAATTAATTTGCTGCATCCTTCATTCAACAATTTGGCGACACTACCCTCCAAAATGGAATGTCAAGTACTATATCTTATCCGACGTGTTTCACAACGCCATATAAGCAATGTGGTATTTGAAAAAAAAGAACTTAATTGCTATATCACCACTTTCAAGCTGACACACATAACATTCTCATTTACATCACAGTGACATAAAATTTATTAATGAGTTTCCATAAATAACACATACCTGCAGTTGTTATGAATTCCGTGGAAGCACCAAACTCTAGTAGTAATTACAATCATTGTAATTATTAATATTACATTATCATTACATTATATTGATACCTTACATATTGTTCACTGTTTAACAATAGTCGAAAACAAAGTATTTTTGCGTATGTGTCTATGTGGGTGTTTTGAATATTATAACGTACCTGCAGTTAACATGTATTCGGTTGCACCAAAACCTGGAAATAACATACATTACTATTGGTATACATAGTGTA